TGGTCGGGCACCGTGGGCATGCGAAGTAACCCGACAAGACCCGACGTGTAGTAGCTCCCATCCTCTCCAGGTGAAGATTGCAACAGGAAATATATAAATTCACATTCCTCATCTCTCTCGATTGACAAGAGGGATTTCGCGCAATCTGGATCACCCTTGAGGACGTCGCGCAACCAGTCTTGGAACAACGCCACATGAGAACATTGACTTCGTAGGAGGTCTTCGGCTATGCCCAGTGTGAGTTCGTTAGGATCTGGGTCAGTTCCGTTGGTGTATTCAAGTATGTTCCTGCAGATCTTACACTCCGGCTGTGCGTCCAATGGTTGGAGCGAACCATGCTCCTGGTTGGTCTGTTCAGCTTCTGCGTCAGAGACCATTTTGATCAGGATTTGTAACGTCGGTGTATGGGGAGGCTCAATTTCTTAGCATATTGATGAAAAATTGGATCGTGAGGACGTGACGTGAATCTGTGCATTCCAGGAGAATGCGGCACAGCAGCGCTTGTGGAGTGAGGCGGACTCTAGGCGGGGTAGATGCAGGCTTACGCACATGCACGAAAGGTGATTTTCATACTTTCTATCGTGTGCAATGAATATGTGTCGCCCAAATTCATGGAAGTGACAAAACACGACGATTTCTATAACGAGAAGTTGGTCATACCAGATGGCGTATCCCACAGCGCATCCCAGGAGAAATCGAACGCATTTGGATCCAGTATATCAGACAACAAGAATGTCGCATCGTCAAAATTAGGCATCACCGGCACATCGATCCCATTGCCATTAGGCGCAACGCTGGTAAGCTCCGTCTCGGATGGCTGTGGCGCCTCGCGTGCGTTTAGAGATGCGATCTTCGACACGGGATCGGCGCAGCGCTCTAAGCAATAGTTTGCGAGATCCCAGTCGTAGTTGTCTCGCGCATGCTGAATATGCGCAATAACGCGCTCGAGGCGCGCGACGCATGTGTTTCGTATCTCAGGATCTTGAGTCTCGACAGTGCAGCGAAGCGACACAGTGATTGCATGCACCAAGAGATGAGTCGCATAGGGCAGCCAAAAGTCGAGGAACTGTGTTTCGCCCATGGTCAATATGAAGTCGAGGACTGCTGATGATGCGATGCGCAACTGATCCATCCGACTTCGCCCTATACTACCATCTCCATCGAGGACAGCTGCGCGGAAGATGAGACGGGCGAGAACAAGCCTTATCGAGAGAAAGGAAAGCCATAGCATAGGTGTACCCGGACGGTTTGGGAGAGGGAGCCATTCCGGAAGCTGTGATTCCAGATCGTCTAGCTCGTGCTTGAAGCGACCGATCTCCCGGGCGAGTTGGATTCGATCCGGACTAATCTGGTAGACAAAAGGCAGGATTTCGGCCAGCAGCTCCGTCAAAGAGCATAGATGTATGAAGCAGGTGGTAGTCTGCTTCTGCTGCGAGGTCGCCTTGGTGCCAATGAGTGAGCTGACAGTCGGTCGCGGCACGTCGTAGTAGCCTTTCGATACATATGGTGGTGCACCATATGCGACACTAGACCACTGGTCGGTGATCAAAACACACCACCAGAGTCGCATTCGCACCGACTTTTCATTCTCCGTAATGTTCCACTTTGATGGGTCTCGGTGTAATCCAAATGTCTGTGCAAGAGACACTGTCCGGCCACAAAGAGTGATATTGCCGATGATAGAGACTGAGGGCCGGCCAACCTGATCGAGCACAGCTGCTTGTATAGTAGACATTCCAGGGCTGAGAAAGTCCTCCAGAGTCGCTGAGATAGCCTTGTTCCAAACGTAGTATGAGTTTGGTTTGGGGTGCATCTTCAGGGTGTCTGATTTGGCCCAGTGCGGCGATGCAAGTGCGAAGATGACACACATCAAATTGTTTGGTACTCTGCCGTATTGCCCTGTCCGCAGCATCTCACACATCTCCTCATCTAGGATGGGAAAATGGTAGTGGATGTGGTTGAAGTACAGCTCGACCACTTCTCGTTTGAAAGGTCCCATTATCTGCTCAACAATCTCCAGCTGTTCTCTACCGCAGCCGCTGTTGGGTGGTAATCCAGTCCGAAACCTTGGGACTGTGAGGTACACCACTGGATCTTTCGCATCATGTAGAAGCGTCTGGTAGTTGGAAGACTCCACTTCACCCTCTGCTTTTCGGTGCTGCGAAATATGTCGGTTGAAGATGTCTATGTCTTCAGCGAAATGCGGCGCAAGCATGATGGATGCGGAAGGATTGTTGTTGGTTTTATGTAAGATGGGTGCTGAGCGAGGCCGAGAAGGACCTTCCTCAGGCTCGCTGTGCCGTCGCCGCTTGGAGGGCCGTCGATCTGGACCCTCTTCTGTAGGAGAGCTGGTTGTTGAACTTTCGACATACTGGCACTTGAGGCGTCTTTCCCGGCATGACAGACATGGCTCTCCGGGAATGTCGATGTGACATCGGATTTTGCGCGAACGACATCGCGTACAGGCCGGTACTTTGTGTGAGCGGTATGGCCTGTTCTGAATGGGAGCAGCGCTGGCCATCAAAAGAAGATTCGATCGACAGATGTGCCCGGACCCTGAGTGAAAGCTTGAGTAACAGTTCGAGGAAGGCGCGGTGCAGCGTATTTTGGGTCCACAACAGCACAAGATGAAGTCGCGATTGCGATGGAGATTCTTCAAAGGCCGCGGAATGGCGTTATAGGCGTCGATTGCATGATGCGGGATTCTGAAAAGACAGAATGCGAAGAAGCTATGGAATCGGTGACTGCACGCCGATAGCGCATCGTTTAGCGCGCCCCACTTATCTGCGCCCAAGCTCCGGTTCTCTGGAGGCTCTGTCCCCACCAGCTGCAGGCTTCACATGCCAAAGCCTCACGAGAACGCCTATATGGTTTCGCACCATCTACTTCAGTCAGACTGATGTGTATTCCGCGTTTCGCATATCACCGTTCCACCACCGTGGTATTCCTCTGGGGCTATTTCGGCAGCCGTCGCGCTAGTTGGACCGCCGCATCGAAACCCCGTATCCACGAGCCCACCTATGTGGAGAACACGACTAATTACTCCAACAATTGCAGTCTCACTTTGCATCCCATCGACCTGTCGTCCCTAACGTTTTCCATGACTACATAAGTAGCATTTCTGTCTTAGTCATCATCAATCAACACCAACATCCGCCTGCTTAGCTCAGTGGTAGAGCGCGTCACTAGTAATGACGAGGTCGCCAGTAAGTACACCCATTCGAGTCGCACCGAGGACAGGGCGCTGACGTGCCGTGAAGGTTCAATTCTGGTAGCAGGCACAGCATACACCGTCGTCGTCGACGCGGTGGCATCCTTTTTGCTCGCGTCGACGTGGTTGTAGAAGTAGATCGAAGTTATAGCCAAATCCTGCGAAAATCCAACTCTGGTAGCAGGCATTTCTTTTTGGCAATGAGGTGCTGACAGTGCGCCAGAGACGAACGTGCAGTTCATGCTCGCAGCAGAGCGTTTTTCTATTTTGTCTTTCCAGTGGTAACATCGGGTACCTTCCCCGTCTTGTATGCTTTTTGGGGGCCACCACCGGAGGGCTGCTTCTCATTGCCACGACTGTGGAAAAGAGAGGGAGACTTCGGCCTGATCATTATAGTACAACATCTTTTGGCAACGGTACGCAGAAACCACTCTGCTTGAAGGCGGCATTTCAATGGGTTATTTTGCACTATCATTCCATGCGTCCACCTGGATACCACAGCTATACGATGCGCAAGAACGTATACAAAACACATCTGATGATAACCGTGGAATCCACGATAAACACAGAACCGGGCATGCCGTGTCTTCAACAACCGATATTGCGCAACACGGGTCTTCCCTTGTTGTTAATGCCACACCTGACAATTTCCACTGCGAATTACTTTTGCCACTGCACTCCTTCGCCCTGAGATTTCAAAGACGCTTCGACACGATGCGAAGGGCACGCGACCTGAGATAATCGTCGCAAACATACAACCGCCTAGCGCAGGCATGCTGTCATCGACCGGGCTCTGCCGTGTTGTTATGCAGCTTTGATGAGCAGCGAAATTGCGACTCGACGGGTACCGGCCGAGGAAAGCAACCTCCATGCACGAGACACCCAGGCTTGCATCTGCCATCTGCAGGTAATTACCGGATGTGCAGGATATTCCTTGGGTCGCCATATCGCTGCTCTTTCGATCTGCTTACGCTGACTGGGCGCGTCGATGAGCTATATTGGATGGAGCGGTCGTACGCCGCGAGAGCACATGCGAACAATGCGCATCGGCCACCACACAATAACTATGATGACATCTAGCTCCCCAAGCCCATGTCGCCATATCAAACGCGCCGATAGTCACCCTCGATAAGGGGGAGTGCACCGCCATCTGCGAACCAACGCGAGGCTGAGGCAGAAAATAGCTCGAGCGCCTAACACCCCCAGGAAATTAGATGGGAGACCCAATCATCATTCACGGGTACCTGGACCTAACCTCAGGCTAACGCGCATCACGGCAAGATGTACGGCTGCACGGATCAGCTCTCACGGTTCGGCCTTGCCAGGCACGCGGGCGTTTCGAGCTTGGTTGGCGCTCTGCCGTTTGTTTCCTGGTCTCTGCCGCGTCCTGCGCCGACGCTCCTTCACCTCCACGCCGCCTCTCTAATTCCTCTCACGACATCACGTACTCCTGCGGCCAGGTTGTCGTCTTGTCCTTCTTTCATCAAGCGCTACCTGTCGCATTTCACTCTTTACCACATAACCATAGTTACACTCTTTTCTGTCTAGTGCCTAGTTCACCCAATACACGACATCCACCCCCGTGCGCCCGTCGAACACCACATTCCTTACAACGAGCCGACTTCATTCAAGGAATTCTAGACTGCGCGTCATACGTAATCACGCACCAAACGGAACCTCGAACGCAAGAGCTGGTTACTGTAGAGTTGACGGCGGAGTTCTCCCGAGAACCATAAACACCATAAAACATAATCTATCAATCCCCGAATCGACCTTTTGATACGCCACAATGCACGCCATGGCGCACCAACACGCCGGATCGCATCTTGTGCGACGGCAACGCGACGACGGCCCCGTCGAGATTGTCACGGCGGTCGTCGCCGTGACTGTAGGAGAGGATGGACGACCGGAGCCGACCAAGAATCCAGGAATCGCGTTGCCCGCGCCTGCTACTCGCGCTCGCGAGACGAAAACTGAGGAAGAGGACGAGCCGGAGGAGACTGCCAAGCCCGAAAAGCCCACCACAACCGCCAGGAAGCCGTCGTCTACCCAGGACGACGATGATCTAATCGTGGAGGAGACCTCAACTGCGAAGAGCCCGCTCAAGCCTGCCTCCACCCTTATGGTAGCGACCAAGTCCCCAACGCCCAGTCCCGCCTCGTCGATCGCAGGTCTCGCATCTGCCACAGCCGCGACCATTTCAGCTACAGCATCCTCTTCTTCAGCCGCTGCTGCAGACGCTGAGGAAGGCATGTCCACCGGTGCGAAGGCAGGTCTTGCCCTCGGTATACTTCTGGTCTTGTGTGCCATTCTCACTGGTATCTTGCTCCTGTACCGTCGCAAGAAGAAGCAAATGGCCGCCGCTGCTGCTCAGAACGAGAAGACTGAGATGTACAACGCACCAGCACCGCCGCCTCCTCAAATCATCGCTGGCGCTGCTCCGGCAGGCAGCATCCGTTCTGCTCGTACCGCTTCAACTGCACCCCGCCTTAGCCTGCGCCCAGTCACCCAGTTCGACCCAGCATTTAACGAGCAGCGAAAGAGTGGAGGAAACTTGCTCAATGTCGCTGCTGCCGCCGGTGGTGCTGCTGCTCAATCACAGAACCGTAACCTCTCGCCTTCAGCATCCGCTGAGCGTCCTACCAGCGCCTGGGAGCGACGTGGTGCCGCCAACGCTACCGCTGCCGACCCATTCAAGGACCCTGAGACCCAATCTGGTCCCCCTTCGGCGAACCCCTTTGGCAACAACGCTGCGGTGGATACTCAGCAAGCCTCCATCCCCGACTCGCCTCCTAATGCTTCGCCCATGGCCTCCGCTATGCATTCTTCGAAGCCCAGCTCTGACTTCGCCAACCCAGCTCCAGCTATCGCTACCGCTGATTCTAATGCTGTTGCCATGTCTACGATCCCTCCTCCTACCTCTGAGCTTCCTCTCCCGCCAACTGTCGCCGCCAACAACGGAAGCGTTCCCCCGAGCCCGGCTTGGACTGAAGACATCCCTGCGTCCCCTGGCCCAGCTCCTGCTGGTCCTCTTCCTGTTGCTGGCGCTATGGCTGGTGGTCGTCCCCAGAGCCCTGCCATGGGTCCTGGTCCTAACAACGTCCACCGTGTTCAACTTGACTTCAAGCCTTCCATGCAAGATGAACTCGATCTCCACGCTGGTCAGCTGGTTCGCATGCTCCACGAGTACGATGATGGATGGGTAAGTTTGACTGTTCCCCATAACTTGACGAAATGACTAATTCTTTCTAGGCTCTCTGCATCCGCATGGACCGCTCGCAGCAAGGTGTCGTTCCTCGCACATGTCTCTCCAAGCACCCGGTCAAGCCCCGTAACGGCCCTCCTCGCAACGGTCCTCCACCACCAGGCAACATGCGCGGCCCACCCATCCGCCCAGCCATGGGTCCAGGCGGTCCTCAGCAACGTCCCCAATCGCCTGGCATGAACTCACCCAACATGCCGCAAGGCAGCCCCGGTCCCCGTCAAATGTCCCCTCGCCAGATGTCGCCCCAGCAAATGCCCTCCCCGCAAATGCAACAAGGCCCTCGCATGCGATCCAACAGCAACGCTCCTCAACAAGGACCTCCCCGCGGCCGCTCCAACAGCAACGCGCCCTACGCCGGCCCACCCCGCTCCATGTCTCCCGGCCCCTACGGCGGCGGACCCCAGATGGCACCCCCACCCCAAATGGGCGGGCGTCCACGATCCAACTCCGCGAGCCAGGCCGGCAACCCACGACGAGGTCCAGCACCCGGTCCCAGCCCCATGAACCCCAACGCCATTACCCCCAACGGACCCGTTCCTATTCCCGCCCGGAAGCCGGTCCCTGGTATGGCTATGTAAACAAGAACGTTTGATTCTAGACTGGTGCTTTTATGAGGAACGTTTGAGCGGTTTCTTGATCTTTGATTGATATTTTTTCGCTATTTCCTTTTGTGAAATCTTTCCAACTAGCGGTACGCGGTTCCTTGTGAATTCGTTGTTTACCCTGTTCCCTTCGCTTGGCTTCGATTCTTTGTAGTGGCTCCTTCCATTGCAGATATGCAATGGAAGGCCAGTCACTACTAGACCTCTTTGCTTTTCGATGCTTATACCCCCTGTAGCCTCGCATCAACCGTCCCCAACCTCACCTATCGAGGCTGGTCACTGGAGCAGGCGAGGCGAGATACTTTAGTCGATAATGTCTTGAGGATATTTTTTTATGTATGGAAGTTGAATGTTACCTGTCCGCTGGGAGGGTTTCGGATGGGCTGGTTTGAGCCATGGCATGTACCTTCTTTCCATTTGCCTCTTGAGCGCCTGGTGCAATATGAGTTTACTCTACTGCTGCAAGTGCCGGGTCGCTGTGGGTAGGGAGAGGTAAGGGATTCTTTGAGAATGAATATTTGGATAGGGAATGAAATGAGTGCACAAAATGCTGCTTGCTGTCTTTGAGGCTGAGTTCCTGTGTGGCTTCTCGTCACGTGAGTAATCGTGTTTGAGGTGGACGGTGATGACAGCTCATGCAGGATGCGCACGAGCCGAAGTTTAGACCAATCGTTGAGTTTAGGTTGCATTAGTTACCACAGCCTCCCGCTCTGTCGAATCAGCTTTCACCAGTTCTTACCGTTTGTTTTAACCCACTTCAACGTTGGCCACTGCTCTAATGTCTGTCTCACTTTCCACCGTTCATTATTTCGACAACGCCCAACTCATTCCTCCAGTGTATCAAGTAGTCCATTTCCCTCTCCCTCTTGCTTCAATCCACACCCTTTTGTTCGCAAGCACTACTGTACTCCATCGTTGAAGTTAATGTGTACTACTTATCGGCAATACCCTTCTGTTTCATGCTCTGCGTTTCGTGCCTCGGTCTATACCATCTCGCTCCTCAACAGCTGCGATTTGTACCCTCCAGTTAGCCCAAAGCTATGTTTGCGAACAGTACGTACCATTGCAGCATCTCCTTAGATTTAATATTCGTTGCGACGAGGCTGTGGCATTGCCTTTAGAGGGGTTGGGGTAGGTCATGTCTGTAGGATATGCTAACCTCGTACAGGGACACATACTACCACCGATATCGTTGTCGAAAAGGATCATGCATGGTCCAAAGAAGCCGTCTTCGCTCTAGTCACCTTGTTTGTCATGGTACTACTGTCTGGTCTGGGTTTGGCATTCAAGAACCGCTTGAGGACTTCAAACTCGTGGATGCGGTACAGATCGCAAAGAAGAGACGTGGATGGTATGCATCAAACCACTACCTGGCTTGTTCAGTAATGCTGACACTATGTAGAGGAAGAACTTGCATCACTCCGCGCTAGGTCGATGGCTTCCGGTTGGATTGACATCGAGGCCGTTCGGCGGTATCAGCAGGATACTTATACTTCAGTACTCCGAATGACGCGCGGACCACGGTTATTGCGAGCGTCGAGCCGAGTAAATGACAGACGTGTGTGATGATGCAGATTACCTGAGCAGGCGCAGGCCAGACGGCCGGAAATGGCAAAGTGTACGATCTATTGCTTGGGCTCGAGCTTTTACAACGCGTCGCTGTCAGTTGGAGGCAGTGAGGCGCGAGGCGACGATGATCATATTCCTTTCCTTTTACACATTTGTAGACTTTAGTTAGGATGCGCGTAGTATACAAATAAATCCATTATTATAAATCGTACGCCCTACCTGCTTAGGTGTAAGACCATGGATCGGTCAAATTTTGCGGGTAACGCCGCGCTTTGCCGTTGCAACATCTATGTCGCATGTCGCTACCTGTAGCCTCACAGATTGACTTAATCTATAGGTCTAAACTCTCGAGAGTCTTGTAGATTTACTGATAAGGCTGGGAAGCTATTGAGCCGGCGTCTGGTACTCACGGTATGCTGTTTGGCGTAGACGCATCACCATCTGCACTGCCTCGTCGAATTCAGTCAGCCGCAAGGTTCTGAAGACATTGCTTCTAGTGTTCAGCCTTGGTGCAAGACTAAACGCCATCGAATGTCATCGAACACATACCGGTAGGAGGCTGCGGGTGATGTGGCGGGCCAAACCCGGGAAGCGTTAAGCAAGAGAAGTCCGTGTCAAACTGTAAACCCTAGAATAAGATCAGGCTACAGTGCATGAGAGTGCGTGAGAGCAGTCTAAGCGAGCGTACTTATGGGCATTCAAGCGAGGCCTTTCTATATCTCTCTAATCGGTGATCCTAGAAGACATGGATTTCTGCTCACATTTCAAGCAGACCTCGAGAGTTCAGCAAAACTTCTTCTCCCACACACATAATTACGACTTGTCAGGTATACACTGGAGAATGAGAAATCACCCTGCTTGATCAACGAAAACTTGTCTTGTTGCTTTTCTCTTCACCCCCTGCTCCGCTAGTCGATCAGCCTGCCAATCAGCTCGAGTCGACCAACCACTTAGAGCGTGAATCATCCAAAGTACCTCGCAATTGGCTGAGGACAGTATCGCCGGCAAACACAGCTGCAAGCATTGACAATGCCACCTCTACACTCTTACTACTTCATTGCTAATTCAATCTCGACACTCATCCTAGGATTCGGGATCCATCAGTTCACAGAAAGTCATACGCTTGTAGACATCGCTGCTCATTTATCGTTTTCATCACCATATCCTACGTTGCAGGGCACTCTACGAAGATATGGCGACAAACTGTACGTATAATCTCTGCATACCTTTTGAGTTCTAGCTCATATTACCATGGGCTCCTCCTATATACACTTCTGAAGAGATGCTGTAACATGTAGCGTTATCATACTGACCGTTGCCAGTGACTCGGCTTACTCCGGCCACTGAGGACAACCAGCCATGGTCTCGAGAAGCCATCTTCGCCCTCGTCACCTTGTTTGTCATGGTGTCTCTCTCTGCAGTAGGACTGGTGTGCAAGCGACGTCTTGAATTGTCCGGCCGTTGGGGGTTGTCAAAATGGCGCAGAATACTCATGGATGGCAAGTAGCGCGCGATGGCTATCTGCTCAATGCAACGACTAATGCAATATAGACGAGGAGCTCGCAGCCATCCGTTCTAAATCGGCCACATCGAGTTGGGTTGACATCGCAGACGTTCGACGGTATCAGCAAGATGAATACACATCAATCCTCCGGTTGAGACAGGGGCCTCGAATTTCACGGTCTTCTAGTCGAGTATACGGAAGGCAGTGGTAGAGACTCGGGTCGTGTCGAGCTGTTGATTGGCATAAGAGATGGTGACTTGAGGACTACAAGTACTAGATTCCAGCTTGTTGTGCGGGTTGAATGGCGTCTGGCAAGTAGCATGGGTAAAGTGTTGGCGTTGGTTTGCGGAATACCAGCGTGAAATTTGGGATTATTGTGAAAGTCTGCGTATGTTATTTTCGCCCGGCAGATATGACCCTTCCTCGTCGAGAGTCGGAGGAGAGGGCAGGCCCGAATATTGATGCTTGAAACTTTCGTATGGAAGTGACCCTAGAATCGTTAGATCTATCGAAATGTATGATTTAAATGCACAATAAGGCATATGTAATCTCATAGCGTTCACCCAGACGCACCGATCTTGTTTTCTTCAATCTCGCTGGTTAGAGGTTTTCGACCTTGCTGATGATCGGGTGAGGAAGTTTATGGCGCCAGCGTCCAATGTCCCGAGGTAACACGCCGCCTTCCGCATCGTGGTCGTCAATATCGTGCTCGTAATGGAAGATTTAGTCACCCTGACTAGCTGCGCCAGACATTGTGAGGACGTGCCGGAGATGTTGTTGTAGCTCTACAAAGTTTGCTGACGAGCAATTTAGGCAGAAGGCAGAATAACAACCTTGGAAGGGTGGGCCCACTCTAGCACGCTTGGGACCGTGCGTTCTGGCTAATCCGCTGACGAAGGAGGGGTCTTGTCAATCGCATCACCTCCAGGCCCGTACAATGTAACAAGCAACGGGTGTCCTGCCGTCTCCATCAACATAGAATGCCTAGATTTGACTGAACTTTAGGCACCGTACACCTCTACGAGGTAGCTGTTTAATTTCCCCCGGTTTTGGGCTATTGATCCGCTGGAGCGCGTCCACATCGGCGCCACACCGCGTCGTGTAGCGCAAAACTCCAAATGATCTTTGCTCCTTCCGACATATACACCTTTGGCATCGCATCCGCACGACGGCACTGACACGCCGCTGGTCTTACCTAGGTACCTTCTTACAGCTGCTTCAGATCCGCAACCACGAGCATGGCTATCCAAGCAGATGACAGTTAAACAGTAAGATAAGGTTGGATAACTTATACGTGTGCGATAGCTTTATAAAGCTGGTTATCTCTAAGCGATCCGGGCTTTGCCAACACTGTTCTCCGCATCTACTGACCCTACAAGATAGGCTCGAAAGGAAACTGCTTTGATTTCTTACCCCTCTTCTTGTTCTTCTTCTTTCCTTGTGCTCCAAGTGCTTCCAATTCTTCCAAATCAGCAAGTGCTCGCTCAGTCCCTTCTTCCGCTTGCGCAACACCATCGGTCTTCGTCTTCTCATCAGTGGAAGCGACTACGGGCTGCTCGACCTGCATCACCGAGTCTGAACGCACGTGAACGGGTGCTTTGATCGTCTCTGGGACTTTGTCACTTGTATTGACTGGTTCTGGCTTCCTGTTACCCATCTGCTGGTACGTCTTTGAGGACTTGAAGTCGAGCTCGTCCGTGAAGGGCTCGAGCGTTGCTGGCTTTTCTGGCTGAGCTTCTTCAAGCTTCGGTGCGACTTCTTCAGTGGGCTTCGAAACGATCGCGTAGTTTACAACTGGGGCCTCAGCAACACTATCCTTTTGAACATATGCTGGCATTGCTTTCGTAATGGTTTCTTCTACGGCTTCATCCTTGGGTGGCGCAGTCGAAGAAACGACTTCTTCACCACTGACCGGCTCATGCAGCTCCGGCACAAGCTCAGCTGTTGGAGTAGTGGCTTCTTCGTTACTGACGACTGGCGTCGCAGGCGCTCGAGCGTAGTTGCTCATCACAGTCTTCCAGACGAGTTGCAGAAGCCTGCTGTTACCCTCCACCGTCGTAATGAAGTCCGGCTTTCGGAACGGCTCCGGATCGTCCGCCATGGCATTGTTGAGCGACTGTTCAACATAGCTCGGATACCACAGATCATCTTCCGGTAGCAAGGGAAATGCATGGTCTCTCGCTACAGTGAGGATATCGAAGATGCTCATCTCTTCGTCTAGAGACTTGAGCTTGTTTTGAGCCAGCTCGGCAAGGCCTGGTAGCTTGTAGCGAGCGGCAGCGCAGTATACACCCGCGCCAAGCTTGTAGACTTCGGGTATGACCTTGTCGGATGACGCCAGTGTGTTGAGGCTCTGGTATTTGCCGGTATACAAGTAGTGTACGAGAGTGTGCGCTGTGTTTAGATCCAGTTCCGGGAGAAGCACGGATTGCTTGACGAAGGCCAGTGGATAGGACTTTGCGGCAAGGACTTCGCTACGGCTCAAGACACTGTCGTGGACGAGGAAGCGGGTCGCTTCTGGCCCAACTTCCAGTGAAACCATCTGAGTGGTTGCATAGGGGCTGCAAGACACTATCAGCGCCATACTGAAACTCGGTGGTGATATGTAACTTACGAGACCTCTTCAGGACTGACAGCTAAGTCTCCCGTACCATACGCATATCCGCCCAGACCATCATTGTCATGCGACACGTCCAAGGTAGAGTTATCGCTAACAGACATATTTTGCTAACACCAAAGGACGCCTGTTGATACCTGCGAGAATCCAGACGAAACACCTCCCTTTAACCCATCACGACAACTTCTCCCAAAATGAGGCTCAAAACACATGCGCTGTCACTTATTACAAGACGCGGGGTCTGCATGCACTCATGAGTTGTCAGTTCAACAGCATTCTCAGCCTTGTGGCATCGGTGATCCCGTTGGTCAGCCTGATCGTCCTTCACTGCACCCCGCGAAGGCCGCGTCCAATAGATCCAGACGGGTCAATGAGCTGGGCAAAACCGGTGAGATCGGGCGTAGATTTATCTGGAATTATCTTTGGTTTATGCGTTCAGACCCGATGGCTTAATGGCCGCGCTATCGCTGGTAGCCTGCGATCTAGACTGTTCGTCGTTCGCCGCGGAACAAACGTTCCTCGTGGACCGGGAACTCATCTCCTAACACGATCGTAATCGGAGAAGGGTAGTATGCGGGTGTCGAGATAGAGGACACAACTGAGGACGAAAGGTGGAGGTGGAAGTCTCGATATCCTTCTCGGAAGGTCGACTCATTGGAAGGAACGAAATGTGGACCCTTGCGAGGTTGTAGTCAGCCGCCACATCTCACCTTCACTACGTGTGAGGCGCGGAGACAAAAGAACATGTCTTGACGGGAAGTGGAATGGGATTTAGGATACGAAAGGCATTTTTCGAACAATAACTGAGGTCTGAACATCGCGTGTATAGTTCTAGATATGATTGACGAAACGGAGGGTGAATTGAGTCCCAGGATAGGAATGAGTCAACACCTCTAATCGCAGCGGCCGAGCGTGGATATTCGAAGGTTTTGTTTTCTACTGGAGACAATTGCCGTCGTACATGATTCAATTGCAGTCCGCGCGCGGTCCCCGAGGACGCACAGTAGGAACGTACGGCGTGCCACTTTTCCTAGGCTGGCTTAGCGCAACTGTGCCTCAGCCTCCACCCACAAGTGCACCAACCGCCGCTACCGTACTTAGTTAAGTACGGCTGAACATCATTTGCATTGTAAACCTCAGCTTCCTCAAACTCAGTCGTGTCTGGTATTGAACTACAGAACTAATCTACGATGTCGGAGATATACACAGTTCAAACCACAAACTCGACGTCATCAAGTCACACAAATACGCTGCGTCTTCCATCAAGTCTTAGTTTCTGGATACTCAGCGTCCTCAGTGCCTACTGGCTTCTTGTTCGCACTCTCCGGTATAGGCGTCGCGATGGCCTCACTCACCGCTTGAATGTAAAAGCAATACTATCAACACTTCCAATCCCGCAAGGCTGACAAATAACCCAGTACCCCGACCGCTCTTCATGGAGTCGTATGACTGTTAAAGATGCGCATTCAGTACACGTTTCCCTCACTGAACTCGAATTCCCAATCATCTTCCACACATCCACATTCTTCGCCCTCTTCAAAACCTATGGCATCCCCAGTATTTCGAAGCTGCTTGTCGCAACAGGACAATTGTCCTGCCCGGAAACAGCATCAAAACGAGCTGCTGATACTGCTACTATCATGACCGAGGCGATCATCAACAAACCTGATTCCGAACGCGCCATCTGTGGCATAGCGCGTATGAACTATCTCCATGCTCGGTATATCAAAGCGGGGAAGATATCCAATAACGATATGTTGTATACGCTCAGCCTCTTCGTTCTTGAACCTATCAGATGGACTGCCAGATACGAGTGGCGTACTGTGACGGACTTCGAGAGATGCGCCATGGGTGTCTACTGGAAGGATATGGGTGAGGCGATGAAGATATCATACGACACTCTACCTTCTGCGGGTCAAGGATGGCGTGACGGATTCCATTGGCTCGAGGAGGTAGAAGCGTGGAGTCTGGCATATGAGGCTCAAAATATGGTGCCTGCTGATACGAACGCAACACTTGGTCGTGGTACTTTCGATGTCGCCCTATTCAACGTACCTTCCGCTCTCAAGCCTTTCAGCTTTACCATAGCACATATGTTACTCGAGCCGCGCTTGCGGAAAGCGATGAAGTGAGTGGAAGATGGAGCTCTCACTTACTTGACCCACGTTGCTGACCAATACCAGCATACCGAAACCCCCTGCTATGTACTACCAAGCTCTTGACCTATTAGTTGAGATTCGCAAGTTCTTGCTCCGAAACTTCTTCCTCCCTCGCCCGTACTTCCTACGCCCGGACTGGTTCACAGAAATCGACGAGCGCACTGGCCGCGTCAATGTTGGTCAATATATTGACAGGCCGTGGTACGTCAAGCCGTCGTTCATGAAGAGGTGGGGTCCAAACGCGTTATTACTGCGGCTAGTTGGGGGTGTCGTCCCAGGCGACAAACGATATCATCCAGAAGGATATCGGATTCACGAACTTGGTCCTTCTGGGCTTGTGGGGAAGGGCGATGCCGAGATGCGGGATACGAGAGATGAGTTGAGAGCGAAAAGAATGGGGTGTGTGTTCTCTCGCTGATGGATCATGTCTGTTTGGCCAGACGTGAAGGCGAGTCCTACGGCAATAGATGAGCTCTTATAGCGCTTGCCGGAATCGAAGTGGATGGGAGCTCAGCGACAGAGGTGAATGCGAATGCGTCAGGTGGCGTTAGATTCCATTCGAGGTCCAGGTAAACATCTCTGCCATTGCCCTCCAGGGCTTGTCATTTTTAATCCTGAACACTAATAACACAACACTGTAAGGCTGCGGTCAAGCTTAACGAGGAAAGAGTTGTGGACCATATGTGACGCGTATCGCACGCGGTAGAAGATGAAGCGGAAGACATTGGAGAACAAAGATAGGTGGAGGGGTCCACATCGGAATGGTTCCGCACCCGCGTCCAATGGCGGAACCCCGCGTCCACCCCGCGGTGATACATATGGAGCAGTCGCTCTGTTATACTCCCGTCATTGTCCCAATCTCACTGCGTTGATTCCATCCAAATAAGAAAACAAAATGGCGACCACAAAAGTTGCACTCATCACCGCCAGCTCAGCAGGTCTGGGCGCGCAGATAGCACGCGTATTCGCACCAGACTTCCGCGTAGTATGTATACAAACCTACAGTCACATGTCTGGCATATACCGCGACCAAGTACATCAACTAAAGAATATACCCAGGTAATAAACTACTCCTCAAACTCCGACCGAGCCAACACCCTGATGAAAGAGCTCTCCTCCATCCCCGGCCCCTCCTCCTCATGCACCCCCCGTTTCCACCTCATCCAAGCCGACATGTCCTCGAAGCCCTCCGTCCAAAACCTCGTCCAAGAAACCATCTCAACAATGGGCCGCCTCGACGTCGTCGTCTCAAACGCCGGCTGGACGCGCATGACCACCTTCACCGACATCGAGCAACAGATAAACGACGAAGACTGGGACAAGTGCTTCACCATGAACGTAAAAACGCACATGTGGCTCGCCTACGCCGCAAAAGACGCCTTAGCCTCCACCGAAGGCACATTCATCTCCACAGCAAGTGTAGCGGGAGTCAAGCCCAGTGGGAGCAGCGTGCCGTATGCTGTGACGAAAGCGGCGCAGATACATCTTGCGAAGAGCTTGGCTGTTATTCTTGCGCCGAGGATAAGGGTGAATAGTATTAGTCCTGGTATGTTGCTTACGGAATGGGGATTGAAGTTTCCGGAGAAGAAAAGGGAGGCGGCGATTCAGAATACGAAGTTGAAAAGGTTGGCGACGGTGGAGGATTGTGCGGAGCAGGTTAGGGTGCTGGCGCTTAGTAGGAGTATTACGGGGCAGAATATTTCGATTGATGGGGGGTCTTCTGTGTAGGGGAGGGTGTGGGTAGTTGGGAAGGAGGAGGACTTGTTGAGCAGGGTTGGACTGGGCATGTTTAAAGGGGGAATGGTGCGTTGCGCTGAGAAGCACCGAAGAGTCTATTGTGACTGAGGAGAATGTCTTGTCCGTAGAGGAACATGCGTTCTCGGGACTATAGGCGCTTAGAGTTTCAGGCTTGGGATTGACAATTCCGGCGGTGTTGTAAGCTGACCGCATAGAGCTTCACTATGGAAACTATATGCATGGCCAGTTAAAACAACGACTTTCTATTCCTGATGTGCTCATCTCTGTAGTGTTCCAAAGAAACGGCCTGGCAAAGAGCGGCGAAATGATCGTGAGACTCGGATGCTGCATGTGCTACGTCGAGACTCATTTGACCTTTGTGCGACATAGAGGTTGTGCACTGTGTATATCTTCGGCGTGTTTGCTGTCGCTAGCCTGACGGATGAGGTTTGAGCAACCGCAAGCTTACTTCCGTTGCACAAGTCCGTGGAGGGCGCTGAATAGGGCGTGAGGTATGCTCTGAAAACATTTTTGAGCCATGTAAGATCGCGACTGTTCCCAGCCACGCGCAGGTACCAAGCAGATCAGCCGATTCGTGTATCTCGAATGAATAAACAGTGACAGCATCGGTGGCGCACTCGCTGCGTCGTCTGCCACAGGTCGCCGTCTCTAGTCGAGATCCCGTCCCGCCAACAGTATTGCCCAGCATGGTAGTGAAGAGGCACACGTCAACGAAGGAACAGAAAGAGTAGCCAAGCTGACTCGCTCTTACACCAAGCTATCTGTACAAGACATCCACTCTAAGGTCAGCAAGACAAGCCCGTCGGAGAATTGATAGGGCGTGATGCACCAATGATCCGCTCCCAGGTTACTCCAAACGCGTAGTCAGGGCTCCGGCTTCGGAGTGCAGCCATTGGCCCGGCGGGTTTTCGCATCCTACGAAACGTGCTTGAATTGCACAACATGCGATACGTCGAGATAAACAAGTACAATCCCACCCGTCAATAAAGATCGCGCGGAATGCCAATCAAGGATGCGAAATATGTGGAAAGTGGCTGGTCGCGTGCGAGCCAACGATGCTGCTGTGTCCAATTCCAGTTTCCCCACGCCAGACGTGTGCCACAGTATCGACCTCTCCACGAGCCCACCACGGCGGCCTTGAGAC